GACAGAAATTTTCTGCTCCCATCGAATCAAACGGGCCGTTCGACCGCCGTACAGTCATTCTAATTTCATTTTGTCGTTTTAAACGAAGATTCGAGGACGAACCGAGCGCTATATAATTCAGACGGTGTCTCACTGCGACTAGCTTTGGATTACTAACGCAAACCTCGGCTCTTTGTTTTGGGAATTTTCCGACGCTCGCGGAAATTTGCATTTATTGTGAAAGACGCTTTAAACTGACCCTTGGCAATTTTCTCATTCTTAGGTCGCTCGATGATAAAAAAAAAACTGTATTTGAAAATGACACGATTTAGAGTCCAACAGAGGAAAGCGTGACAAGTCCATCTTTGTCTTTCGAATTGTTTTCGCTTTTTGAAAATAAGTGACTTAATTTAATTGACATTTTTTTTTTTTTTTTTTTAATATTCAAGAGCTTGACTGAAACGTGCGTTTCATCCGAAAATCAAACGGGAATATAGTTTGAACGTGAAATTGACAATATATTGACTTTTCGAATTGGTCTTGTGTGAAAGGTAGGAAATGCGAGTTATTATGTTTTCATCCGTGGTTTTCATATATGTACAGTATATACACACTTTTATTTGCGAATTGTACATAAAAATCAAATGTTAAAAAGAATTTGCGTTTCGATGGACGTTGTTTGATTTTCATGTTTTATCGATGCATGGTGCCAAGATTATACCGCATTTACACATTCACGACAATTTGATTTAACAAACTAGAGCTAGTACGATGGAAAATGAAAAAAATAACTCTATATATATAGTTATTTTTTTGCACAGTACAAGCGTACATTTTGTCTACTTATCTAAATCGATAGACGCAACAGATACGAAGAACGTGCGTTATATTTTCAAATAAAATACGCTTGTAGAACGTTACGAAGTGCGTAATTATCGAATTCTCATTAATTAAGAAATTTAACTTGACCGCCAGAAGACTCTGTCACTAGGAAAAAGTGGCTTGAATTGAACGAGCCTGAAAAATGTTACGGTAACGAAATAGGTTTTGGAACAGAGAGTTTCAAAGCTGGGCAGGAGTGAAAAAAGCCAAGGTGGCTGTCGCGAAAAGTGACTGTAATGGAATTTTTTCGCGTCTCCTTTGTTCATCAGCGTAAGAGCGTCGTGCACGATGTAAGTAAAATTCGCAATTAAGTTCAACTGCTTAAAAACCCTACTCTTCTATACGTTGAACCTTGACCGCGATTCCGGCACAGTACACTCTACACGAGGTGAAAACGAACCTCCGCCACCGCTGAGCTTTCCCTTGACGACCGAACGTCGTTTCAGAGTATACCGGAGAACGCTAATGATCCCTAGCAAACAATTTTGTTTATAAAAACACTGAACACAACGCGATGATAACGTGTACTGCTTACTAATTAGAACGTCTTGATAACGAGTAAAATATAATATAATTATGCGAGAGGGAGATGTAACGTTGAAGGAAGGAACATAGCGAGGCTGTCGAAACTATTAAACGTTCAAGTTTACACATCCTGAAGAGTTGAAATAACAATTTGGATTCTATAAGTGGAGGATAACGAGCTCGAGGATTAGAAAATTATGGATTGCATCGTTACTACATTTTACACAATAATCAGATTTTATATTTCCAATCCCACCAAATGACATTTGCAGTCTACGATCGATGACTCTACGTTTTACTCCTTAACCTGTTAACTTCACTGTATCTCTTCCAAGTATATGTTGGACAGAAGGAAACAAACGACGACCAACGTAACGCGAAAACACGCGTGTTCGCAAAGACAACACGCTGACTGTGATTCGACGATTTATATCGGAATATGCAGTATAACCAACGTGACGTCGACCGGGAATCGGTTGAAAACTCTCTTAAAACACCCTACAACGAACGACGGGGAGTGAATCGGGGTGGACGGGAAGACGGATGTCATAAGCGAGGTCAAGTACCGATGACGCGTTCCCCGTTGATATATTTTCGCCGCGGTCTTTCGCATAATTCCGTAAAAATATACAGAGCGAGTGGTGGTGAAGTGGTAGAGAGCGTCCTTCGAGTAGAAAAAGAAAGCGGCCGCGCGCGGTATAACTTGGCAAGGCAACGAACCTTCCAACTATCCTTGTCCTCCTCCACCAACGTCACCGCCACCTCTCGCGCCACGGCCTCCTACTCCTCCTCCTCCTCCTCCACCGCCACCCACTCGTCTTTTCGTCGACTTAGCCGGTAGTTCTCTACCTACATATCTACGCGAGTGGAAGAAAGACACCGCCATTTCTATAGGCATTCATCATTCACTCCTCGCTCAACGTTCCTCTCTTTCACCTTCTTTTTCTCTCTCTCTCTTTCCCTTATGCGAACGCTGTCTCTCGAGTTCTCTCTCTCTCTCTCTCTCTCTCGTTCCCTTGCCCGGCACCCTCTTACGCCAACCCCCTGTTTCTGCATTTGTTCGTCTCGCTCTCGCGCCCACTTTCTCCGCTCCTTTTCCACCCTCGCGCGACATCTCGCTCGTCTCGTCTTCGTCTTATCCTTGTCCACAGCGATTTCACCGCGGCCTTTCCTTCTCCGCCCCGTAGTTCATTCCCCACAACTTCTGACGTTACGTAGCCGAGATGCGCATTGACGGTAATTTACCGGGCTTTTAACCGAATATCACGCTTCTCCGCCGCGCGAGACATTGATGACCGATTTGCGAGTGCCGCCCATGAAGAAAGAAGAGACGAAAGAAAGGCGTGGAGAAAGAGACTACTTAGGAGATGAAAAAAGTAAAGTTTTCGGGAGAAGTATGTAGACAGTATGCTTGTATGATGGGATATGCTTTCTAGGATGGTATTTCCGTTATACGAATTGAAGACGATGAAGGAAGAACATGATAAATGTACTTTCATATTTCGATCTTAATTTACATTTGCAACTTTCTAATTATTTGATTTTGCTGCATAGTGATAATAATAGGTGTGAAACGGAACTGTTCTAAATAGTATGCAATTTGAACAATGTTGAACAAATAATACTTCTTTAATAAGTACCGCTACCAGTGTCACATATGTACATATGTATAACTTTATATTTCAAGATTAATTTGGATTTAATTTTAAACTGCGAAATAAACGAATAAGTAACTGATGTTTTTGGGTCAAACAGAGAGAAATCTCAAACAGGTATCATTTATAATAAAATTACATTATATATTTCGAAACATGTTACACAAAAGTAGAAAAAAAAACAAGACATGGTGCGTGATGAATGTTTTGTTAAACTCTATTGTAGTAAATGAACGTGTTAAGGTATTTTTAAATTTTTATATCAATGTTTCGATAGATCCGTGAAATTTAAAAAAAAAATCAACGATATAATTTTATGATAATAAGCATTCTTTAAATGTTCAAACCGATTGTAAAAGATATATTTAATCCCACGCCAAATAAAAACACAGTGATAATATGAAATTGTTGACAGTATTGAATTCACGTATTAATTATTATGATTTTTCCATTCTTTCCATTCTTATGATTTTCCACTCTACTGTAAAAATAACGAACGTTATATTTTGTAATATAACGTAATATTTTCAAACATATTTCCCGTTTCCTTGTTTAATTACGCACACTTTGTATCGTTCAAACTTACGCTCCCAGGCGTCTGTACTTACACGATGGCGTCATTCGGTGGCAGAGTTAATATTACGGTTGCTCTGACGTTATATGAAATAACTTCAAACTCGGTTTAATTAAGTTGAAAGTTTGATATAAAGAGTTCGATTTCGAGTAAAATTATTTTAATTGAAGTTACCAAAACAATTCATGTACCCGCGCATGTAAACTATTTAATAATTAAACTTCACCGTGTACGAATTTGTGATGAATGATTTCCATTTGCGAACAATTCAAGAAACGATCTCGCTTAAACGGCGGAAGTTTTTGAGGAAACATGTTTCTCTCACAATATATTGTTCGACAAGAATGGTTACACGTATAATGAGTATTGTTATATTCGCAGTTATTTCAACCAATTGATCGTTCGAAATCGTTTCATCGGGTTATAGTAAATATGAATTTGGAGTTACGAAAACACAAAAGAAATAATAATAATATTTCAAATATTCATGTTAATAACAATTTCGTGTTAGTGACAAATCGTACATAGTCGAATCGGTCTCCGATTAGAAACATACGATTAAAATAATACCTCGCATATATGAGATTGTTTAACAGAAATGTATGTTTGCGTTCAATGATTTATCATTCGTTCTCGTTATCGTTTACCGAACACGTGGATTTACAATACAATACTTACGTGATAAAGCATAACAAGCACGTCGTGACGACCGGAAAGTTCGTGCATGCGCTTACACACGATCTTATAAACATTTCAAATAGAACGTGTTTTCCTCCATTATTGATTCGACGGGATTCAAGTTTAATGAGTAAATTTCTTCGTACAATCAAAACAAACCACTGTGGCGTTACAGATTTTCATTTACCGTTCCCCAGAAATAGCATGTGAGACGGGAAACGGAGTCTCATCTCGAACTCTACCCGGATTCCTATTTACTTTACTGTGATTACGCATATTTTCATGGAAAACAAACATACGGACACCGACTGAACGAACATATCAAACGCGAACCACTCGGCGGATCTGCGAACGGCGACGATCGTGCGTTTCCATCGCACGAAAAACGCGTTTATTTACACGACCGCCACCCCCTTTTAGTCCCCCTCCTTTCGCGTCGTCAAAGAGAATCATGTGCAGAAGCTTTCACGCGGACGGTAGCAACTGCACATCAAGAACGGAGAGTATTTACTTTCATCCAGCGTTGAATAGACACCTACGACTGCGAGTCGAGTGCAACAACCCTCCATAACCGTTGGAACAGTTGCACAACGTGTCTTTGTCGTTTGCCTGTACAACGGCTCGTACGCGCGTCTCATCATATTCACGGAATGTGCTGGCCGTGTTCGTTAACAACGATAGAGGACACTGTACTAAATAACACTCACCGATGGAGATCTTGTCCGGATACGCGGCTGGCAGCAGGATCATTAAAAGGCCCAAAGCGGTAGTCATGACGGTGGCAGTGGATGTTGGCCTGATGATCGAAGAAGAACTCGCGACGTTGCGGTTGGTATTTCCGAGTGCAGCGGACACGGCACCGAGTAAAATCGTGGCGCGGCGCCGTCGCCGCGACGAGGGTGGTCCACCCGTTTCGTAAACAACCGGGAGCATCTTCCGTGCTCCGTGGTCTGACACAAACTGCCGTACTCCACTTGGCGTGAACTCGATCTCGCTTGAACCGCCCCAGCATCCCTCTCCTCCACGCCCGCGTGTTCCCCCCGCGTGTCCCCGCCGCGCCTAGGACCAGCCGTCATTTAACCAACCCTACCGCCCTTCTCTTCCCTTCCCCTTCGCCTCTCCGCGCTCCTCTCGTCTCCTCTCGTCTCCTCTCTTTCCTCCCTCCTCTGCCCTTTGCCGCTCTCCTCCTGCTACAGATCCCGGTCTCGGTGCCATCTCCACCGACCAACCCCCAACGTTCTACACCCTCTTTCCCTCTCGCGCTCGCCCTCTTTTCACCCTCTCGCTCCCGTAACTACTTTTTCCATCTTTCTCTGTCTCGCTCCATCGGAAGCCAGGAGCGCACGCTTAACGCGCATGTTACGACCCTAGCGCACCGCGCGCGTTCCCCACGTACGGCATTTCCTGTTACTTTCTGTCGCGAATACCACTGCGCAGCCAGCCAACGTCGCTCCGTCGGTATACACCGAATCGAATGGAAAAACCGAGAGGCACGCACACGACGCGGGATACGACGAACGTTTCTCCGGAAGTGATAACAAGTTATGAAGCAGGTTATCGAATGTAAACATCGTGACACGCTGCGAATCTGCACGGAATGATGTTTATGTTACCGAACGATTGTTTTGCTACCGCTCTTCCCCAGCCCCATCTTCGCCACGATCGTGGTATTTGCGCGCGATTGCTGCAATCCAGCCACGCCAGCCTGACTATGATTTCTTGCATTATGATCTCGCGAAACGTTCATGTTACGCCGGAGCGTGACAGCTAACTAACTACGTATGTACCCGGAATAGTTACTCTTCTTGCCCAAATGGAGATCCTTTTGTTTTAGGAACGACGGATGAGTGAGTGATATCGACATTGTTGTTGTTGCCATGAAAATGGCGAGGTGATGATTATAAAATTAACGAACGTAACGAAATAAAACTTGAATTAATTAGCCACGACTTTGTAACGTGTACTTTATGTAGGTAGAATATATATTGTATAAGATTTTATACGAGGTTTATAGAATTCAAATATAAGGTGTGAAAATGGCACCGGTCTTTACCGTGACAAAGTAGGGCGTGGATTCTCGCTTCGCATAAAAGTTAGTACCGTAGCTCTCGAAATGAGAACAATATGTTCTTTCTATGCGCTTTTCCTGAGCTCGTGGCAGGAACTGTTCTAAAGACCGCGGTTGCTTTGCCCCTTTGACGCAACGTTCGTAAAGTAAAATGCGAAGTAAAAGAAGCCGGCTGCGTTGGTCGCAAAATGTCGCAGACGTCAAAACCGTGGAAACACGTTCGTAAACCATAGCTATTTTATAGCGCGTAAAGTGTTCACACACTCGCAAAAAATCGAGAAATCATAATTCACTGCGACGGCCGACGTCGAGTTTGATATATGAATTGTACAGAGTGAGGTTAAATCTCGATAAACTAGCAGGGGAGAGATTCAAGAGAGCAATGGTAGAACAAGAATATACGTCATACGTACAAAATTATCGAAACTGTTGTCGAAATTGGGTGACTTGAAATTTTACATGCTAGGAACTATAATAAGTCTGCTTTGATTCACAGTGGTCACGTAATTCACGAATATATTCATCAATGTTTTTCACTTCACAAGCGGCACGCACATTCCACCGTAACCGTTCTATTCTACTTCGATATTTAAACTGTTTCGATATTTGAAATTATCGAATGATGATTGTAGAACGATTTATCGAAAGCAAACACGCGCATGCGCAACATGGCGTCGTTTCACAATAGGAGTAAACGACAAGGAGCTTCTGTGTGGTAGATGTTTCATTGCGCGGTTTAGAATGTGACTAGAAGCACGATTCGTATCGAAATTCAAGATTAATAATTTTGACGTTTGTGTAACTGAAATCTTGTAACGATGGATCCAGCATTGCTTAGAGAACGAGAACTCTTTAAAAAGAGGGCTCTTACTACACCAACGTGAGTACATGCCAGCTTCTTTCCCTAACCTCAAATTCTGTAGAAAATATATTTTATGTTTAAAGTTGAATATTGAATTTAAAATGTTGTATAAATTTAATTGCAAGATTATACAGTAATTTAAATGCATGAGCTCTTCAGATTGGATTGCGAGATATGTACGAACTTTAAACATAACCTATATACAATTTGATAAAATATTGCAACAATTTTGTTTTTATAGGATAGAAAAGAAGAAAAGAGAACAGGAAAAAGATATCGTACGAGATGAACCACTCAAGAAAAAACCAAAACTATCTTCTGTGTCTAGTGGTCCAAAACTGGACATGGTTAATTACAAAACTATGTCTGGTAGTACGCAATACAAATTTGGTGTTTTAGCCAAAATTGTAAAGCATATGAAAGCCAGACATCAAGAAGGTGATGATCATCCATTAACATTGGAAGAAATCTTAGATGAAACAAACCAATTAGACGTTGGATCTAAAGTAAGCTTGACAACCAATAAAGTGAATTGATCGATTCATAAAAATATGAGGATACTAAACTAACTTTGCTTCAGGTAAAACAATGGCTTCAAACAGAAGCTCTTATTAAAAATCCAAAGATAGAAGTAACTTCAGATGGTAGATTTGTGTTCAAAGCTATGTATAAAATTAAAGATAAGAAATCTTTATTAAGATTATTGAAACAACAAGATTTAAAAGGCCTTGGTGGAATATTATTAGAAGATATACAAGAAAGCCTGCCACACTGTGATAAACACTTGAAGGTACAAGTATTAATGATATAAATATTGTCAATGTAATGCACAAGTTTTTGATAGTAATTCTAATAATATTTAATAATTTTAGAGTTTACAAAATGAGATATTATTTATAACAAGACCCTTAGATAAGAAAAAAATAGTATTTTATAACGATAAAACAGCCCAATTCCCAATAGACGATGAATTTCAAAAATTATGGAGGGCTGTTGCAGTTGATGCGATGGATGATCAAAAAATTGATGAATACTTAGAGAAACAAGGAATACGATCTATGCAAGATCATGGTCCCAAAAAACCAGCACCGATTAAACGAAAGAAACCTATTAATAGGAGAAAACAATTCAAGAAACCAAGGGATAATGAACATTTAGCAGATGTTCTAGAAACGTATGACGATGCGAAGTGATTCTTCGAATTTTGTAAGTACGTGAATCTGTGACTTAGGTGTTAAAAGAGAAATATTAATTACCATAACTTTTTATGAACATTATTATGTAAGAAAAACTGTCTATTTTGCAGTTAAAGTTTTAGTGTTACATATCACAGTGATATAATAAATAAGTAAAATATTTATTGTCATAATTTCATTGTAAATACAAAATAAATATAGATCAATTATATATTACATGATTCCATATCTATACTATACTATGCTCAGTTACATTTATAATCAGCCTCGTGAAGTGAACAAATTACATAATCTTTTCATGTATATTATAGCAAGGTAGAATGTGAAATTTTGATTAAAATATTTATATCTTGCATGAAATTTTTACATATATATTGATCGGTATTAAAAACTATAAATTCTTCCATTAAAAAACACGAAAGATCTATATTAGAAACTATTTGCTTATATTATACGTTGACAAAAATTGTAATACGAAACTTCTAAAATTTACGTATTATGTGATTTACACGATATTATAAATATAAGTCAAAAAACATCACACGATCTTACGTTACACAAATCTTTGGTAATTAAACTTTCAATAACAAGGACACGTATATAACTATGTATCATTCAATTTTGATTCGTAGGATTGTATTATAAATTTCTTTAAAAACAATTTTTTTTATAAAATTTATACATATAAATTAAAATTATATAAATTTTATAAAACACAATTATATGTGAGTAAATATATATTTCGCGTATGTATGTTAATCTTTTGGAAGCGCCGAATCGCTTTTACCTCGTGAATAAGCACGCGTCGCTTTGCTACCAAGCATTCTATCCAATAAGGATTGTTTATTCCGTCTTCTAGCTGCCAGAACTTCTCGGCACAATTCATGAAAAGATTCAGCAACTTGTGTGACCTGAAGAAGATTATATATGTACATAAGCACTAAATTATAAGCAATGTTTCGTGTACAATATTTACAATTATACACGATAAAAGAAGAAAGAAAAATTAGGAGCGTACCTGTTCTGCGGCAGATACTTCACTGAACCAACATTCGAAATCTTTCGCAAGTATTTCTCCCTCTTCGTTGCTAACTTGCCGTAAGTGAACCATGTCGGCTTTATTTCCAACCAAAGCAAGAGGCATCGTGGCTTCGGGATCAACCACCGCTAACGTTTCCTTCGCTTTCCTGACGAAATTGAAAGAACCCCTATCGGTTATCGAGTAGACTAAAAGTAATCCATCCGCCCACTGTACAGTTTCTGTGGAAGGTAATTCGTCCTCGCTCTACAACTCAAGAAATGACGGGAGAAGAGAATGAAAGAATTTTAATTGCATTCGGCCATCATGAATACATCATCGATAAATCTATTACCTTTGGACAGGTGTCTAAAATTTCGAAAAGGATCGGTTCGCCGTCGACCAACACTTCGTGTTTATACCTGTTTTCTAAAAAAAAAAAAAAAAAGAAAGGAAGAAAAACAAAAATGAAGAAAAGAGATGCGAAAACCGAGGCAAAACTTATATCGACAGATGTAAAACGATTCGATACGATTGGCATCCTCGATGTGATGTAAAAAAAATAAATTTTGTACCAAGAGATCGCGTTGTAATATAATAGAAAGATCTGGTAGCTGTCCGGTAACTGTTAAGTAGATCTTTCCACTCCAGTCTAGTTTTAGATCTCGGACGAAGCACGTGCTCGCAAGAGAATCGCTTGTGCATCCTGTCTGCGTCTCTGTATTTGTACAAAAGAAGAAGCCTCGTTCGAGTATCAACCTTGCATTAGTACCAGTCTAGTGTCAAATTTGTCTTCGATAAATTTAGATCAGACACGGACCGAAATATACGCCAGGAGAAGAGTATACAGGGTCCCTGAGGTGCCACGCCAGTTGTTGGCAATTTTTCAAAAAAATGTGTCACTCTATTGTCCACTCTATTTACATTTTACGGTAATTTACACTGCATCGAGAAGCCACATCGTATCGGCCACGAGTTTGTAAATCGAGATGTTCCTCACCTGACTGGTGATCATATTCCCCGATATATCTTCTTGTTAGAAATCGTACCGTCAATGCTGGAATTCAAGAACAATATACGTCGTTGAAACATTGTTATTCTAGGCAATTTAGAAGCGATTGTGAATTATTCGGCGGAACAAACGTTTATTTATTAAAACAGACAGTATATATCAGCGTTCGAGTCCGCTTCTGTTAGTATTTCGGTACAACTTTTCTTTACCACCATATTCATTTATCTTGGTAGGTGTACATTAACGCGACACTCATTAGATTGCGCATTCGTCAATACATATTCCATGCACGCGCTTGTTAGAAAGTTATTAACCTAGATTTTCTCAGTCTCGTGTCCCATTTTCATCGATTCCTCCAATATTCGATAATTGAAATTAGATGAAACGCAAACTATTTGTAGTAAAAAAAAAAAAAGAAGAAGAAGAAGCAATTTGTTTCTAAAAGAAAATCGTGGCACACCGTATATTTGGTTGTCGACTTTATGTTTGATTTATGTGAAACAGCCGAGTTCAAACCTCCGCTTCCTTTGACTTTTCCTCAATTTTCAACCGGTCGAAATCAATTTCCACCTGATATTGTGGAAACGTACGCGGTCTTGGCTCGACGTGTACGCGTTCCGACATATCGCGATCCAATCGAAAGAAACGAGAACTACAGCCTAGTGACCCGCTTCGAGGTACACCACACTATTTTTACCTCGAACTCGAACCTGCCACGGCGCCACAAAACCTTGCGCGAGCGTTAAACGTCATCATAGTATGTTTCGTCTTAAATTCAATGAAAAGTGACCTGCTTTATAAGCGCCGCGAACAAGTTTCTTTCGAGCAGACCTGAGAGACAATGCGCCGAATCGGGGTCGGTTAATCAACCACTGGACGGAGCGCAACGGTGTTTTTCAACGAAAATTGCGAAGAAATTTTATTACAAAACTGAAACACTGACCCGCGAATTTAATGAATTTTTCAAACGAAATCCTCCAGCTTTCGAAGTTAGTTGAAGTTGCAAGTCACGGCGGAGTGGTTTTCCCAAATGTTCACCGCAGACACTGCGGTGTGCTTTATTTCATGACTGGCAGTACCACCTGGACATTTCGTGGAAAACGAATCTATCGGCGATTCGTGTATTTACGTCCGGGATCCTTAGAGCAACATCATTTGGACGCTTTCCCTCGCGTGGATCATTAAAAGTTTGCCAGTTACTCGTGCCAATTTTCTGCACAGATCAACTCGACTACACGAATCGCCTTTATTCCCTTTCTTTCAACGTGCCGGGCAATTATTTGCCGAGTTAAAAATACGCACAACGGAAAGCGTGTATCATTTGGCAAAACAGTATCATCGTTTGTTTCGTGATATGTGTGTAATACAAACCACTGGCCTATCGTTTATCCGTGAAAAATTGACAGGATGATTTAACGCGTTTATAAAACACGATCCAAGGAAATTTTGAAATAAATTTTTATAAATAGGACGCGAACGTGCTTTGCGGCCAGCGTGAAACGTACAGTTGCTAAGGCCCAACTAATTATGCATTCACCTATGCCGTACACGTGCCATTACCAAAAATACACGCGGTTGGCTCCTTTCAGGGTCCCAACCATGTTTATCATACGCACGCGAATACACACCCATCACGTGAACATACACAACGCGTGCACTTGAAATCAATGTGCATTTAAAAATCCTTTCTGCAATTTTTCCGTTGTGGTAATAATTTAATTGCTAACAAATAATTTCTGCGTTTTCTGAGTGAAATTTTATTTCCAAGCACGAAGCAATTTAAGTTGTTAGATATTGTGTATTAGTGACGAATTATTAACTAGCTGAGTAAAGACAAATTTTGCCTCTGTGTCTAAAAGATACTCAGTTCTGAAAATACTACATTAAAGTGTTACGCCTATATCAAACTACCATCAGTGATCTACAATCTTATGTTTTTTGGCAGTGACATCAGAGTTCAAATTGATCTTTGACACAAAAGTACAGTTTAGTTCACGCCATTAGCATGATTCAAGACAATAAGTTAAGGGAATACATCCACGTAACAGAACGGTACAGATGCATCATAAGGACGTGCATAGAATATTCCTACACTCGATCCGACGTAACACTTTCTAATTGCACGCCTGCATGGTACTGTGTGCAAATGATTATGGTTAATGTCACGCTCATTATTACTGCAGCAAAATGAAGCGTTATCGGGCGTGTTAGCGTGCTCCACATTGAAAGCGAGTCGAGTGAAAATGCGAGGAAAGCGCTCGTATTATAACACGCCGGCCGATGAAAACAAAGTAAAACAGCGCTAAAAGTAAAAGCGGATTTTACATAACTGTCTCACCGAAACTTGGCACACGGTCTATTAAAACGTACAAGATATTGAGATATCTTTCTCAAGCAAAAGACAACGCTCGATCGAGACGCGGACCGATAACGTGTTATTATACCCACCGCTTTTGCCAACTCCAGGTGCTCCGATCACAGCCACTTTTACCTCGCATAGCGAGCTCTTCTTCCTCCGGATACCTCTGATCGCATTCGACGTCATATTCCGCGCATTTGTCACTGCACAAAGCGTAAGAGAAACATTGTATGTAGCCGATGCTTGCAAGATGAATCAAGAGGAATCGTCGCGGACGAGCGAAACAAACAGGGCGCGTTTCTGCGGTTTCCGTGACGTGAGATCGCGTGGTTCGTGGCCGACGACCAAGTGAAAATTTGTCACGATTACATGTTCCATTGGCTGGTTTTCATAGGCGTCGATAACACCTCGGAAAATTTCCTGTGAAACGTTCGAACACCGACGCAGGCGTTGCAACGATCCCGTCGTGCTAACGAAGACACGCAGTCGATGATTTTTTTCAATTGACGATGCAAACGATTAATAATATTTTATCTTTATGTCGAGGAGCAGACAAATTGAATCGCGAAGAGAAGATTTCGTGGAACAAAAGTTGTCGAAAACACTTCGGACAAAGTTACGGATACTCTCGTTTACCTATCACCAATTTGTACATTCCGTTCTTAAGACTTTGGTGGACGTGCTCGAAAAAAAATCGTTCGCGCGGGTGTTCCATTTACCGGGTGTCCCGTTTCTCTCTCTCTCTCTCTCTCTCTCTCTTTCGTATCGAAATCAAAACGGGACCATCTGCGACGATCGACCGAGGCATTCGCCTCGTGTTCCCCTTCGAACGAAAGTTTAAATATGCCGTGCTCTCGTGTTCCGTCGGTCTCTCGAGTGAAAGAAGAGGAAGAGGAGCACGATGGAAGAAACGACGCGGCGGAAAGAGCGGGAATGGAGGTGCGTGCGCGGCCGTCGTCGTCTGGAAAGAGAAGGGAAGACGTGATGGGTACATTAATAGAACAGTTCGCACATGTCTCGTGGAATTCAGAGAATTTACTCCGGTGTCTAACAATGTACCACACCGCTGTACGTAAGTCGCGTTACGGATTATCAACCGTTCCACTGGCTTGGACATGACCGTGTTTTGGCCGCGAATCGTACACCTGAACGATCGATTAAATGATTTACATTAAATTGGGACAACGGTTTATATTTGGGATTTCTTGTTGGTATGATTGTGTGTCTCACTTACGATTGAAGAGGCGAGTGCTTTTGTTTTTTAGAAATAAATCGAATATGAAAAATTATAACACACAAGATACACGTGCATGTATATTTACTTGGAAAGACAAATGATAGTCACGTCGATGTTCCCATGTTTGAAAATATCCAGAGTTTTTTCCTACTTATCCGCAGCTTCATCTTGTTACAAATTTTACCAAATTAAATCAAATATAAATTCGCCGATTATTTTCTTCTTTCACGCGTTGTACTTGAGGGAGAGATGAAAGAGGATGTCGGGCGTGAAAAAATGACATTGGTCGAACGTATTGCACGCGTCTTCCAATAACTCGTACTATTAAAAACTCCGCGTTATTTTTATTTCATCGCATGCTTACTTACCAGTCGCCTAGGACACACTGATGTACCGTTCCTTCAGCATTCCTCGCCGCACTTTCTATCAACTCGCGCGACAGGCGAACATCGCGGTTGTCCTGTTCCGGTTGTCGTCTCAAACGAAAGGGAAAAAACGAGCCGAGCCTGCATGCACGTGAACTCACGGCGACGATACTTTCGTCCCTACTATCGCTAGTCGCTGCAAGTTCCCTTTTCGAAGACGACGTTGCGAAGGGAGCCGGAGGTATGGTTAATCGCGCGAAACAGGGCGGAAGGGATCGATATTGGAAATCCACGCGTTCCCGATACGAGAGGAGAAACGAAAGAAGCGTCCGATCGAATGTATCGTCGTATCGATGTTGCGTACGTGTGCGTGTATGCGTGCGTGCGTGCGTGCGTGCGTGTGTGTGTGTGTGTCTCGCGCGTCACGTGCTTCCTGACAATTTCGCGGTTCCGTTGCGTGGTGGTCCGACGCGCTTCTTGGTCTCCGCACGACTGTGCTCTTTCCCCATTCTCTTTTGGCGGCTGGTCGGAGCCGGCGGGCCTCCTTTATTGCTCTTAAGCCACGTATATCCACGCGCCGATATCCACTTCCGGCAGCAGCCGCACCGCGCGCCAACGAATAGCGCTCGCGTTTCAAAAACTCGTCCACCACATCCTATGCTATGCTCGACAGGGCTCGTACTCTCCACGAGCTTTCGAAATGGAGCGGAATCGCGATAAATATTGACTCGGCGGACGGACGTGCACTCACGGCCACTCTCGTAAAAACGAATCGAACGGAACGTTCGGGGTTTCGACGGTTCTACCACGGCACTTCCGGACCACGTCATGGGAATGTCTGTTTGTAAATTAACGGATTCGCGGAAGAGATCGCTCGGTTGTTATTACATTTGTTGCCACGATGCAGTTCGCGTCTGTTCGAGGTAAGGCAAGCAAACGGCAAGGAACGATAAGTCGAAATTTATTTCAATTTTACGCCCTCCCCCTCCCCTCCCCGGCTCGTTCCGCAAACTCAACGATTCGCGATGCAATTTATTAATAAGAATCGCGAATATTCGATGCGACAGAGCGCCGGTTTTGCCGACGGTCTGAGCATCGAACGACGACGAGTTTAACGTCCTTGGCTAGAGGAGCCACTCGTCAGTTAACCCTTGGCTCTCTTCCTTTCCGACCTCGCCGCACTTCAGAGCCGCTCTTCTCGCCGCTCCTGGACAACCGCCGAAGATCCAATTCACCGCTCGGAACAGCGCTGGTTTAAATCGATCTGAATCATTGAAACAATTTTTCCTTTTTTTTTTCTTTTTTTTCTGTTAAATATTCCTCGTAGAGTCATAGCATCTTCTTTCTATCTCTTTTTTTTTTTTCACTTTTCTTTTTGTCGAACGACGCTACGAATCCAATTTATTGCGATTTGATTTTTTTTATCAGTCGCTGTGAAAATCCATAGCACTTGCTGGTAATATAAGAAATTCGAAAGATCTTTTTTTTTCATAAAATGAAACACAAAGAAGAGTTGTTTTTAAAATCGTCACGTAGACCTTTTTCGAAAGTAAGAGTTTTTTCTACGTCTATCTCATTAAATAATTTCTTCTTTTAATTAACTCAAAGTGAGAGAGTACTTGGACCTACTTTTTAAGATAGGTTCTTCGTAAATGTCGTCGTAGCAATCAAACATCGAGCCGTCCGAATTTTTCTCAAACAACGGATTCTCTCTTTGAGGTTTCTCATCGAGATCGTGCTTCCTACACGCTCGTCCTTCGTGTTGTGAATTTTCATCGTCGGCTTCCCCTCCTCGATCGGTGAACAAGACGTCATTGCCACAGAAATTTGTTACCGATTCGTTTCTAAATCTTTTCCTGCGAGTTTTCAATATATTTTCATACAGGCGTTCATTTTCTTCGTGTTTCTAATAAATACCAAGTAACATGAAAAATCTCTCGTTACAAATAAAAGCATCTAAATCGATTGGTTACCTGTTGTGTGCGCGTTTCGTGGCCGCGATTTATGTCTTCCGCTCGAAAATCTACTCTACGACTGTTGCTCGAGTTAACACACTTCATAGGACGATCATCCGCGTGACTGTAATCGATCGTGTACAAATGTTCGTTGCCCTCTTCGATCTTCCTCTGCGGTGTCGGCGCCACCATGCTTCGAGATGATCTTAAATGACGCTTTATGGAATTACGATATTCTTATTAACTCTATCTGTCACGTCTCTATAGCATTCTATTTACTTTAAAGCATTTCTCTGACCGACCGGGGTGTTCAATCTAGCATTCGCCCTGTTGCTCAAATCCGCCGACGATATCGAGCTTCCGCAACACTCACCGCCACAATGATATTCACTTATTTGGTACAAGGATTTGTCGACAGAGTACCGCGAACCGCTGTCTTCCGCCGTCTCCACTTCCTGGATGAACAAATTTGTGAGGATTAAAAAACTTGGAGACGAGCTTCTGCCTTTCTTTGACGAAAATTCTAAATTTAGATTGACGAAATTTGTGAACAAGATGAAGCTGTGGATAATTCTTTGACGAAAACTCTAAAACTCTAAATTCTAAAAGACGAAAATTCTAAATTCATCAAATTAGAAATATCTATTAATTCCTGCTGGCAGCAGCTTGGTCATCATTGTCACTTGGACGTCACTTGTTTTATTTTACAATGGCGAAACAAAGGGTCAACGAAGAAAATGTTTATCTCTGATAAATAAAATTCGTTTCAAGGATAAACAATATTATCAATCTCCGTTGGTCTGTACGTCAACTGCTAAGTTCGTTACTTCTTCGTTATGATCTCTGGTTGGCCCCTCTTGTTCTGAACTTGAGGCTTCTGCTTTCGATGACAATTTATCAGTGGATGTACCACATTCCTTGTACTCCATCCTCATATAAGGATCTTGAACAATCACCATGTCGTCCTTCTCGTATTTTTGATCTAACATTGCCATTTGCTGCGGACTGCCGCTGTAACAAACAAAACGACAGAATATCAGAGAAATATTACACGATTACACATTCCTTGTATCTGATTATTTATACCTGATTAGAAGTGCGTAATTCTCAACAGGTGAGTTGGCATGTTTCGTGTTAGACACGTTGGTTTTCAAGTACTTTTGAGCATCGTTCGTCTTATCGGAGTAAAAATAGGCCGGTTTAACGACGTCCACGCAAGGATCGTTGTTAATCATGCTGCTTCGAAGACGATGACGCGACAGTCGATGGTCTTTGGCCACTTTCTTCGTATCTCTGCTTTTATAACACATTTAGCGTAATTTCAGAATCATATGAAAATTCCTGGTTGATGGGAAACGTTTTTTCAATCACTTCGACAGAAATAACGAGTAACGAGAGAATAAACTGACCCTACGTTGTCCGCGTCGATAAAGATTTTCGGCTTTCTGGTGGAGCTTCTTCGGGGTTGCGCAAAATTTTCATAGTCGCCTCGAATTTCTTGCAGGGCACACTTCGGCGCTGCTAACGACTGCTCGTGTCGGCCACGATGATAGTTGGATTTAATTTTCTCGTACATGTATTCGCTCTCTCGGCCGCTCAGGGCGGATTTCAAACCGTTCGCTGTTAGATCGATCAACGTGTAACAAATTCGGCGCGCGTCTGAAATACAAATATTTCGATAATTTGCCAAATCCATTGATGTTCGTTGCTGTCAAATCGTTTTTAAATACAAAATAATGTAAATAGTGTAAAGTTAATTATAATATCTTACAATTTCTTACAATTACAAAATAGTGTAAAGTTAATTATAATATCTTATTATATCTTACAATTTCTTCCATAAAAAATTCACCTCGTGTTGTTGTTACTATTTCAACTTACTCTGGTACGAATATAAAACTTTCTTTCGCTCCTTACTTTCAGAATCGCGACGCGACATTGACTTATCGAGTTGACTAAAAATCACTACCAAGAGCTGTCGAAAATGAGTCTCTCTATTGCGCTTTTACTCACATGGCCGCGATTCTGGGATATAGTAGAGAACCACGACGGACAACATCAGCACGGTCAGAGAAAAACGTTTTAGATAACCGATCCAGCCAAACATGGAGAACATCTCTTCCGAATAACCTGACGAGCAAGGAAGGAAGTGACTTGAATCGTCGAGGTAAACACGCTTTCACTTACTATCACTGTCCCATGATTTTGCCGCGGCACACTGTATTACGAGCGCGCCAAATGCCGCTAAAAGTTTCATTTTCTATGGAGAACGCACGGGCGCAACGGTTCTCCGTTCCGTCGTTCGATACTCGATCGCGGTTTTATGTGAGAATCGCCATGATGTGTTTCGTAAAGAACAAAGTCGAGACGGAAGGTGGCAACGAGCCTCCTCGACGCGACGTTTGCCTCGAGGCGAGTAATCAGGAAGCGAATTTCACTTCGATCTATGTCGCTCGCGCGAGTAAAAGACGTTTACACGTGTGCATGCGTACGTGTACGTGTACTTGACTGCGTGTTCAATACGTTTTTAAATACGGGACGATATTAGTTTCGTGGCGAGATGCGCCACTGCAAGTAGTATCGAGTAGTGGCGTGAAACGAAAGCAATTTTTATATTGAATTCGAGTTTATTACATTGGTTGCTGAATGTGAGTTTCACTTTTCCTTCCTGAGTGCGACAGCATGCCGACACGTAATTTAAGAAACTTATACGAAAAACTTATTTCTTAATTTGATCGAGAAGAAAAGATTTTAAGATGGTATACTTGATGCATGAAAACGACTCGTAGAGTCGTATATTATATATATTATTATATATATTATAATATATTATATATATATATTACAATATAATATTAATTACTCTTACTTTTATTTGTAAAATAATATAAAATTTTTATATATTTTATATATATAAATTAATATTATGTAAATAATTTAAATTTCATCTATAATTATTAACTTTTATAGCGTTTAAATTTAAATTATAAGTTAATAATTAATAAACTTTATTAAAATAAAATAATTTATATAAGAATTAATAATTATAGGTGAATTCTATTAATTTTATTTTATTTAATAGATTTAATTTATTTTAATATATATATATATATATATATTATATAAGTTTATTTTATATAGATTATATAAAATTTTATTTAATTATTTTTTAAGATACAAGACATATAACAGATAAGAAATATAAAATAAAACATAAAATATAATTATGGCTGAATTACTAGTTAAATTAATATTTTATATATAATTTATTAAAATTAAATATTAAATTTATTAAATAAAATAAAATTAATAAAGAATTCTTTATATATAAATTAATGAAAATTAAATAAGGGAATTAAAATTAATAGTTATAAATTAAAGTGTCAGTAATAGCGGTTAAACTTAAATTATAAGTTAATAATTAATAAACTTTATTAAGATAAAATAATTTTATATAAAAGTTAATAATTATAGGTGAAATTTAAATTATTTATATAATTATAAATTTATATATTAAAATATATGAAAGACGATTAAAGGAAGAATTGAAAATAATGCAACTGAATCTGCATATCGTGCGATACATCGTTATATGTCATTTTGATCTCAAAAATTTCTAAATATTTTTAATCGATAGATAATGGACGTAGCATCACGTAGTGAAGAAATAACAGGGAATCGATAACGATGCATTACGACGTTACCCAGACTCGACAAGTAAAAACAATTTATAAGATTCATATCTTAGACTTTTTATTATGCTTGGAATACTTTACAATATAATACAAAGGAATTCTAGACACACGCTTTTCTACAGGTCAGCAAGCGCGATAAAGGTGTGCGTATCGATACGAACGCGGCGAAGTATTTGGTACGAATTAGCGACAGGAAACGGTGCAGGGTGCTCGTAAGCAAGTACTCGCACTACGCGCTACATGGTGCGTTTTCTAAGGCAACACTGATCCGTGACTTCGTCATCGAAGTTCGTGTTTCGTGAATACTAACTGGTTCCTCGAGAAACAATGGCTGTTCTCTGGTCTTGGAAACTAACCGGAATACAAAAATAAAGGAAATTCTCGAATCTGTTCTACCGGCTAACGATCCACGATTACCACAACGATTTTACCTAACACGTACAGTTACAGTCTGCCAACCGGAGAACAGGCACGGTTTCTCAAGATGTGTACGTGTTCGTTAATAATTATCTAAGAAATAAGGAGTCTACGTTGCTTTGTAATAATAATACTAGCCGTCTGAAAACAAAAATTAATCCAAACGAAGACGACACGTTGATTACGTTCTATCGCAAATGAACGAAGCAAATTCGAACGCGGCTAACGCTAACACAATAATACAATTACTATAACAACGTGTAATACGATAGAATAAAATACAATTAGCAGTACGTATAACGGAACGAAATAACGAGATACGTAAGATACGCGTGGAACGTTCAAAGCGTGTGAAATTCGGCGCGCTTCTATCGAACACAGAGATCTACTAATAATACTTTTTTTTTCTTTTTTTTTTTTTTTCTTTCTTTGCAAGAGCGTTACGCTCGTGGACGATGCTGAGCGCGGATTCAGGAATAAATAACACGAGGAAGCACGATTAAGTTATCGGACACTGGTGTCACGCAAATGCGAGTGACCCCGTTTTAATTGAAGCCACGAGCGCATAATAAAAATATACCGAATCCACATTTCGAACGGTCTGGGCACACGCGCGCGCGTTCAGCTACGCGCGCGAACGACTTTATACACAGAGTGAGAAGGATTCGATGAAAAACGACGAACGATAATAAACGACGTCCTTCTAATAAAAAAGAAAGAAAGAAAGAAAGAAAGAAAAGAAAAGAAAAATGAACAAAAAAAAAGAGGAAAAAGAAGAATTATAATACTTTTATATATATATACAATCCGCTTGAAACGATTCTCAACAACGAGAATAGGATTTGCAAATTAAGTGAGCAAATGCATAAAACATGGAAAGTAGCAAACCTCGAACCGAGATGGGAAATTATGCGATTTCTCGCGAACACACACGCATAGGATAGACGCCGAAGAAGCTCGATGATCCGCGAAAGGGGTAATCTTGTCGTGTCACGCGGGCATAGAGCCTCTCGTCTTTATGCGAACGATCGTTTGAGCTTGGAGACGGCGTTCGTTAGATGAGTCATCTCCGTGTTCAGCTGGGACACCAGGTTTTCCAACCTGTCCACGCTGTCGAGCACCTCGACGCGTTGCGTATGCGGATTGTACCTAACTTCGAACGGTCGGCTCATGGTGGACACCTGAAACAAAAATTCGGATTCACAAATCTATCGAGCAACGCATTATTCCTTCCACGTGTAATCTGCAATTTACAAATCATCGATCTGAATTTTATTTAAGCCGCTACGATAATCGAACGTTCGTGTAAATCGTACTGAACGAATCTGAATCGCCAAAACGATAACGACAAGAGAGAACATTGCCATTGCACCATGGACATTTTAATGAATTCAATTGAAAAGAATGAACTTTAGGTAGAAATTTATTTTTATTTATTTTCGTTGATAAATGTCGTAACGAATAATCTCTGCGTCCTTAAATCTCCCATAAACGAATGAAAACAACCGCAGTCTAGTCGTTGTTTATAAATCATCATTGAAATCTTCCTTTGAAATTTAGAATAATCGACAATCTGAATTTCAACTTTTGATTAAATTCCCGCAAATATCCCTTGTCGACAAGATCGTTAAAACTAGTAACACTATTTCGACACTGTAAACGCAGTATGTATATTATACAGCTTGTTTCGTAACTTGTGGGGCTCCACTTCAGGAGCTGATTGTACGCCTAAAAGTAATGAAGAAAAGTCATATAAATATACGTCCTATCTGTCCTCGTTTATGAGAGATAATGAACTTTATAAATAGAGCAAACTCTAGTAAGCTAGTTTTACCAGGGATGGTATATTCAATTTTCATAATAATCATA